ACTTTTTGAATGGACATTGGCATCCAGTCCCCAGTTCTGGAATGACTGGGTAGAATAACAATGCTTGCTGTCTGTAGATCTTCATCTTTCAGAACCTTGGGAGGCCTCTTCCTAAGTGTTGTTTTCCCCTTTAACACATGGGAAGCTGAGTCCTAAGAGAAGGAGCTGCCTGTCTAAAGCTCTAGGAGAGAGAAAGGTAGTCCCAGAGCCCCTGGTCTGTGGGGTGCCCTGGTAATGAGAACAAATGTGGACAAAGACAGTTAATAGTTCTTGAAAAAATTTGGTCAAACTCTTCTTTTATCTACCTACTTCAAGGACTCCTACAGACAGACCTGGGCCTGTTAGAGCAGATGACCTGATTGAGGCTCAGGAATCTGCTCTTCCAGAATTAGCTGTGTAACCTCTGGTCAGTTGCTTTTTCTCTTTGATTCTTTCTAAATGAAGGATAGAAGGAACCAACCAGATTAGGACAGGGGCATCATTGTCATTGCTGACACACACACCCCCACCCCCCACCCCCGTTGCACACCCCAATAGAGCAGCACATCTGAACCCTGAAAGTCTTGTTTTGCTCCAATCAAGAGCAGAGAAATGGGATAGAATTGGGCTGTCTTTGCAGATCTTAGGCCCACAGAGCACTATAGTCCCTTCAGCCCCCTGATGCTGCTGGGCACGTGTCCTGCTGGGAGAGGAGGGGGAGGGGAAGATAGGGAGGGAGCGTGTGCTGCTGGAAACTGGGTTTGAGGCTGAAGACGAGGACAGAGGTAGAAGTTCTTTGGTGTCTTGGTTTCTCAGACATTATTTTCAATGGACTTTCTTTTTTTTTTTTTTTTGAGATTTATTTATTTATGCATACAAGAGCTGTGGTGCAGGCCAGAGATTGGGGGGGAGGGGGGTGGAGTGAGAGGATTCACCAGAGACAGAGTGGAGAGCAGAACAGGCAGATCTACTGAAATACACTGCGAGGGGAGCAGCAGGTGAGACAGAGAGGTCTGCTGTGCCATGTGAATTGCTCCCTGGCCAGCCAGGAATTGAACTCATGATGCAGTGACTGGGGATAGCTTGATAGCACTGTCTTTAACCCCTGCGCCACCAGGGATACCCTGATGGACTTTCTTTTTAATGGCAAACCTTTCAAAGTCAATTCAATTTACATAAATGGAGTTTCTTCCTGCTTGGTTTCCTTTCTCTAGTGCCTAGCACTAAGCAGGCTGCCCAAAGTTCTGGTGGGGGAGGCAACTGTGCCATTGTTGTGCAGGGCAAGGCCTGGGGCATTCAATGCTGGGCGTGGAGAACATCTTGGCTAGTGTCTCTCTCTCGGGACTCAAACTTGAGGGCTCCTGAGCTGGCTGAGGCAAAACTGAGGCACAGAAACACAGCTTCGTCATTAACCCTTGTATAATCCCGGGCTACGCTAACTTCTCAGGGCTGCCTTTTGATGACTTGTTAGGCTGGGCTCTGTGGCCAGAATGTCTGGTCTGAGGTTTGCCTCTTGGCGTTGGAAGTTCCCAGAGGCTGTCTCGCTTTGACCATGACCGCAGTGAAACTCTCTCAGCCCTTTGTGCTTTGTGGGGTGCGGAAGGGAATCGCACTGGCCAAAAGGGCTCGGCAGTCCAACACCAGCCTGAAAAGATCGCGTTCTGAGTGAAATGGGAATCTGAGGTATTCCTGCTTGGGTAATATCTTCAGTTCCATCCCACTGCAGCAATGCTCTGAGGATTCTGTCCAAGCCACACAGGAAAATAGGTTTGTGCAGCATATACTAGCTTGGCCCCCTCCTTCCGGAAAAACAAAACAACAAAGCAAACCAAAATAAAACCGCCCTGCCATCCTGAGAATGGCTCTGGGGAGCTCCTTCTGAGGAAGAGATTCCCCGTGGCCCACAACATTTCCTCAGTCCTGCTAGTGATTTGACCTTGGACACATCTTATCTCACCTTGGTCTTTGTCCTGCATATGTAAAATGGGGAACGCATACCCTCGAAGCCCTGTAGTTCAAAGACTTTAAATCTGGGTTTCTAGGGCTGAGCTCTGAGAGAGGGCTGAGGGGAGAGGTGTCACTGGCTTTGTCCCTGTCTCTCTGCCAGGATCAGATGGCAGATTCACCAGTTTGGATTCTGGTCACTTACAATTCACAACATAAGAGGTGGAACGAACTCAAGAACCCTAACTCATCCCAGTTCCTCTGTTTTGATATTCCTGTTCCACAGGGGTAGTGGTGGGAGGAGGAGCAAGGATCCAGATGGGCAGGGTTCCAGACAAAGGAGAGATAACATGGCCACCCCACCCCAGTGCACACTGCAGCCTCCAGAGGCCTGCCTGTGGTCGTTTTCTGCAGCTGTGCCCTGAACAGGGGTGGGGTGGGGCGTCAACACCGGAAACTTATTTACTGGTCAGGGACAGCTGAGTCTAGGTCAGAAACAGAAGGTGGACCCAAGGGCCTGCCCAGAGTAGAAGTGTGAGAAATGGGGCAGAGGTGCTCTATGCTTACAAGCCCAGGACTGGAGCAGACACCCCAGAGTCCTTGTTTTTAGATTATCTTTAATATTAGAGGATCGTTGCTTGTGAATTTGAAATGGTGGGTCTTGGGACCACTCCCTTGTGCTACTGAGTCTTCAGGTCTTTGAGCAAAAAACGAACCCTGGTACACATAGGTGCTCACAGAATTATTGCCTCCTGGGTGTAGAAGTGCTGTCCACTTGTTTCCTTTTCAGGTCCAATTCCTTTGATTTTGGTCCCAGGGCCTCACCCTCTTGAGAAACTGAGAATCTCTGGTCAGATTGGGTTTTCGGATAACTAAAAGCAACATGGTAGCACCCCTGGCAGGGCTTTGCTCATACTTTGCAGATAGAGCCCATCTGCCAATTTGCCAGTTTCAGGGACTCTTATTCACACTGCACACTATTGGGCTCATTCAGAGCCCTAGATGCCTTGTGCCAGATGCAGAATTGCCATAGCAAATGTAAGCCTTTAGCTGTGTGCAACTCCAGCCCCCAAAACATTTGGCAGCCGCTGGGTCTGAGGTTGAAAAGATAAGTCCTGGACTCAGTGTTTGGCAAATTGATCAAAAGCCTCAGCTACTCTCCTTTCCCAGGAATACCCTGGTTATAAACTTCAAAGGAGGGTGAGATGTATTTCCCTCTGGTTAGCTCAGAATTGGGGCCCCTGAAATTAAAGGTAGGGGTTAGACGAGGAGGTGACAGCGACTTAGTAGGTGCTTGTTAAATGTAGGAAATATTTCCCTGGGAAGGAGCCTTCATTAAAAACTGGGTAAGCCAACACTGCCCATTTTACGGCTTAGGAAGCTGAGGTCAAAAGGGTCAGATGTGCGCGCACTACCAGTCCCTAGTAAGTCTGATGTGTTTAGACTGAAAGCTGGATCTATCTGCACAGCATTCCTTGTCTTCCTCCAGCATTTTCTTCTGTGTGTGTTTCTGGTGACTCTTCTCCCCACCCTTACCTGCTCCCCTCCCCGCCCAACTCCCGGCCTCTGCTGTCCTCAGTCCCTCAGGCCGCGGGCATGGAGGCCAGGTTCTCTCCGGACCTGCTGCGGGACTCTCCAGGCACAGTGTGGCTTCCCTTCCCCATCCCCCATACGCGCTCCACCAGGCCTTCGCCCCGCGCGTTTGTCAATGAACGTGGCGCCGCCGCCTGGGCCCCGCCCCCCATTCTCTCCCATTGCCCAGGTACCGGCTAATCAGGCGGAGCCCGCCGGTTGCTTAGCCAATAGGGCAGCGTCTCGGGCCAGGGCCCGCTACCACCTTTCTGATTGGTCTGATGAAGCATGATTGGCAGTTGAGCCCCCGCCCCGCCCCCGCCCCCGCCCGGAGGGAGGCTGAGCCCCGGGCGGCGCTGTCCACACGCAGCGGGTCCTGAAAGCGGCTCCGGGGCGGCGCGGTGGCGCACTGTGCGCGCCGAGCAGGCGAAGGGCTAGCGCCCGCGGCGGAAACAGCGGCAGCGCGGGCAGTCAAAGCCGGCAGCGGCTTTATCTGAGCACCAGCAGTCCCGGCGGCCTTGGTGGAGGGGACCATCCGCTCTCTCTGTCCCTTGCTTCACGCCCGGGGCAGGCGCGGCGGCCGTCCTGGAAGAGGCAGCTGAAAGATATTTGAACTAGATCCCCAAGAGAGAGCGGGGGGCTGGGGGGAGTCGAAGAGTTGGTGGGCTTCAGGCAGAGAGTTAGGCTAGAAGGAGACCGTCGCTGCCGTCCCCGTTCCTTGTCCAGCAATGGGGGAGCAGCTGGGGCTGCTGGAACTTTGAAGTCTGCGGGTCCCGGGGTGCCAAAGCTCCCGGGACTCTGGAGTCGGCCTAAGCACCAGGGGCAGGAGCGTCTCGCAACCCGCCGGGGGCCCCGACGCGCCCAGAGAGGAAGTTCTTTGCAACTTAGTCCGAGACGTCGGATAGTCGGTGGATAGAGACTGAGGGGGCAAGTCCGAACCCCAGAGACTCAAAAAAGGAGAGAGAGAAAGGATCCGGTGGAGACCAGGGGTGGAGAAGCGGCTCCAGAAGAAGCGAGGCCGCGGAACCCGCCTGCCAGCCCCGGGCCTCCAGCCCCCCGAGTGGAGGAAGCCAAGGGCCGTGTGTCCTGCCAGCCCTCTCAAGCCCTCTCCTATCCGGAGGCCGGGGGCTTTCAGCCGTCCCGGAGGCGGGCCTTTCGCTATGCCCCCGAAGCGGTGGGCGCCTTGGCCGCAGCGACTCCTGCTCGGGGCCAGGTCCGGAGCCGCCTCCTGAGCCAGCCCCGGAGCGAAGCCACCAGGAGTTGGACGTCCGCTCCCAGCCAGACTGTACAAGCTCCATTTCCCGCCTCTAGAGGCAGCTCTCGGCGATCTCTGGGAGGGCGACTCTGAGAGGCCCCGAAGCTTCGGCGGTGTTTTCTGAGCCCAGCTCGCTTGGTGCCCGGCCTGGCGGCGCGGTTCCCTAGCGGTGCTGGGCAGCCCCTTGGCGCCGGGAGGCGGCGGCGGCGTGGGCCGGCCTGCAGTCTGGAGCGCCCCGATGGAAATACACTGTAAGCACGACCCGTTTGCATCCATGCATAGTAAGTAGGCGGCGAGCTCGCTTCTCTCACTCTCCAGCCGGGACGGGGTTGGGGGTGCCGGACCTCGGGGCAGGTATTAAGGCCGGGAGGACCCAGGACCTCAGTAGCCGCGCAGCCAACTTTGCCAAGTACAGGGCTCCCAGGCAGGGGATGTGAAACAACGCGCTCGGCCGCTGGTGTCTGAGCACCTGGCACCGGGAATCCCGCCTCCAGCAACGCAGAGTATAGGCAGCGAGCTGCAACCTTTAGGGTATGTGGCAGCGAAATCTCAGCGTGCCCGGAGAATCCTGGCTTGGATACGGAGTAGCTGGAGGCCAGTCCAGTTGGAGAACACGAAGTTGTAGGGAGAGGTCAGTCCGAGTCTCAGAGAGCGTCCCACACCCCGACCCAGATAGCGCCTTTTTCCGCTGTGGGGCTGATCAAGATTCGGGCTTGGGGGGAGGTAGGGCCTCCACCGGAGTCTGTGTGCTTATTATGTGTGGAGGAAGAGGTTGAGGGCTAAGGGAGGACACCAGATCCAGAGCTCCGAAAGTGTCCGGGAGTTGAAGAGGGGAATTTGAAAAATCAACGAAGTAGCAATCCCTTGGCTGAGCTTCTGCCTAGAAGCCAGCCAGCTCATTCAGAGACCCTAAAAGACCCTGTTAAGTCCTTCTCTGCAGGAGCCAGCCTCATGATGGCTTCTTTCCTAAAAAAGCAAGCAAGCAAGCAAGCAAGCAAGAAAAGATCAAGAAGTGAGTCACCATACCAGCTCCCTTGCCTTTTGAAAGACACAGCGTGTGTAGGAGACGGGAAGGGTCATTTTGGGTGCTAGCAAGGCTGACCCAGCTGCCTGACCTGTCTGAATCTGTTACTTTGCCTATTAACAGATCTTCCTGTGAGATGAGTGTGCCTCTCTCGCTGTTAGATTAGGTTCTGAGATTTTAAGGAAATTCCAAGTGAAAGAAATCATGTTTCCTTTCTGCGGGCTGCAGAGCTGGGATGGAGCAACGAGGTCCAGCTTGGTCCCCTCTGGCTGTGGGTCGGGAGTTGCTCCCTGGCTGGGATCCCTCCTTAAGTCAAGTTCCTCTTAGATAGCCAGGGATCTTGCATGCCCGGCTGCATTCCCCCATTTAACAAAGGCAGCAGAGACCCGGCTGGAGAGAAGGCGAGCTTCCTCTGGCGAATTTGTCTGCTTCAGTCCCGGATGGCCAAGTGGCCTGGTAGGCAGGGAAAAGCTGATCTAGGCAGCTGGGCTGGCTGTGGGCAGGTCAGTATCTCTTTGTGTCAATTTCCTGAGGTAATCCACCCAAGAGGTAGGGAGATTTGCACAGAGAAGCCGCTTGCCCTGGTGCAAGCAAAAAAAAAATAAAAAACAAAAACAAAAACAAAAAACAACAACTCAAAAACCAAAAAATAATGACTCCTGGATTCCTGGCCATTTGGGGCCTATGCCAAACTGGTTTCCAGTCCATGGTGAACCCAGCACTCTCAGCAGCCTTCTGTGCAGAGTTGAGCCGGTTTCGGGGGAGACCGATTCCTCAGAGTGAGCCATAAAACAAATGAGTTGGGTCAATACTCTGAGAGGTGGGCAGGCTCAGCCAGGAGCAATAGGGGAACAAAATAGGGGAGGACTGCCCCCTGCGCATCGCTCCTCACAGGCAGGAATCCAGAGACCTTTACTGCCTCCTTCTGTGCAGAGTCCAGAGACCCAAAGGTTGTGCCCCTGGCCCTTGGGGAGATAGCATCAGACCCAGTGGTCTCCAGGCTGTGTGCCAGCATGGAGAAAGCAGCTTTTTCCAGGTGCTGTTTAGCTACTGATAATGCCTGTGTCTCTGTCCCTCCTTGTCCTGGCCTTCATCTGCCCCTCCTGGAGAAGTACTCCCTCCTCCCATTTTCAATCTCCCTGGCAGCACAGTGGGGGCTGGGTCCCAGCCAGCCTAGTCCTGGCTTCTCTGGAAGTGCCCTTGGCTCTGACACTGAAAGCTATTTGCTTGCACAATGTAGGCCCCCTCAGGGGTCCCAATTTACTTGAAATTGGGGGGGGGGAGTATAGTAGACCTTGAGAGACCCCTGGAGTAGTAGGGGCTCAGACCAAGTCCCACCTACCTCTTCATTTTCCTTCCTGGTCCAGATCAGTTTCTCCCCTTCCCCAGCAATTCCCTTCTCTCCTACCTCTCCCCCCTCCCCCCACTTTACTATGGGACAACATTGGCGTGGAGGTTGTATGGGGGCAGGTGCAGGTGCTACTAGGAAATGGGCTTCTGAGTTCCCCTGTCCCCACCCCTTATTCCAAGCTTTCCTTTTTCATCAGGACAATGACTTCCCCCTTCCCAGATGTTTCTATCTCCACATATGATTACCAGTTATAAAACACTTTTAAAGCCAGTCTCCTTCCTGAGTGACATCCAGACCTTTAGTTAAACCCATTTTACAGAGTATGATACTGAAACTTGAGAGACAAAAGGACTGACAGCAAGTTCACACAAGCAAAGCTGGATTTGGTTCTGGGATCTTCTAGGATTCATGGAAGTGGAGAAAGAGGGACAGTGAGAGGGCAGTGGACTGTGTGGGTGGTACACATCCGTGCATGGCCTTCTCTCTCTGCCTGGTTTAACTGCTTCTGTATCCACGGGCAGACTGCACACGTGGGTCAGCACCTATCTGTTGGTTAGAGTCCATCGACAAGATTTTATCCCTGCCCTTTCCTTGTGTTCCTGTTTGCATGTCTGTGCGTCCCTTCATTCATCTTCTCTGCTACACTAAGAGGAATTTCAATAATCTGTGGGTTCTGGAGTTCAATCTGGAGCTGAGTCAGCAGAGACCCTCTCCCTGAGACCCTATGCCCTGGTGGGCAACATGTCCTTTCCTGGCTGAGTAGCATCTGTGGAGGCTGACTCCTTCAGACTGAGCCACAAAGGCACCAGAGTATCTGCAATTCCCCCTTTTTCCTCTCCCCACCTCCAAACTCTGCTCTGTGCCCTCTGGGGGTGGGGCTGTGTTTCCCTTGCATCGGTGTCTGTTTCCTGGTTTTTGCCTTGATGTGTTTATATCAATCTTTACATCAGTCTCTGTAAATCCTACCTGCCCCTGAAAAGTGTAACTGAGTGTGGGTATGCCCCTTCAGCATCCTCTTTGGTATAAACCCTCACCCAACTGGAGTGCACAGGAAGGAGAGGGTAGAGCTTGGGTGCTCAAAGCAGATGCAGGACTGGAGCTGCAATCCCAGAAAACAAAGGTCCCACTCACAAGTTCTCTGTCTTCCAGATTACCCGTTAATGGACTTCCTCCATTTTCTCTTCTGTTTTCTCCCCTCCCACAGAACATGATACTCACCTTCTTTCCCTCCCTTCCTCTCTCCCTCCCTCCCTTTCTTCCTTCCAGTCTGGCCTGTTGTGGCTGATCCTTTCCTTTTTAGTCCTCCTCTGACTTCCTCACGGGTCTCCTTTCCACGCTCTTCTTGCTGCCTGTCTCATTTAGTCTGTGCACTCTGCACCCTTCCCTTCATACTTCTTTTCCTCTTCTTCACCATCCTGCCTCCCCTCTCTCAGGCAGTTTTACTTCTTTCCGATCTCAATTGCCTTCTCAGACCACACTTGTAAGTCACTACTCTGCCAGCCTTGAAGTGCTCTATTGAATAGGACAGTGATTGAGGCAGAGAGTCAAATGGGTTGGGGTGCTTTTTAAGAAGTTGAGGGAAGTGGTGAGCTCCCAGGTCATTCTGGGCCTGGTCTCAACTGTGGACATGTGCATCGGACTCTGGAAGAGCATTGATAGCCCAATCTTTGTGGTCAAGAGTAGAGGGTTTGGGGACCTGTTGTCACCTTGCGTGTCTGATCTTTGTAGTTTTTTTCCATGATACAAGTGGCCCCCAAAGCTCACAAATGTCTTGTAGGACTAATCTTAGAATTTAAGTCTTTTGAAGGTTGCCACTGGATTTTGGATGGAAACCACTGGCTTAGTATTAAGGGACAGGCTATTGTAAATGGGCCGCAATGCCTGGGCTGGTGGGTTATGCTGGGTGTTTTAGCTTCCTTTTTATCCATTCAGATGAATTTGTACCGATTTTGAACTTACTTCTTAAATTAAACCTATTCTTGAAAGATCTGTTCAATGCTTTTTTAGTAGGTACTCCCAACCCCAGAACAAAGCCTTCTTAAGATACTTGACCAGAGGTAGCTGCAGTCTTTCTGTTTTAGGTGAACTATACAATTATGTTGCAACTGCAAAATCCTATTCAGAATAATTTTCCTTTTTCCCGTATCTGGAGTCTTTTAAAATAATCAGAACTGATTCATTTTGAAAATCAAAGAGAAATTCAGTTTAAAACTAAAACTAAGTACTGCAGTTATCTCTAAAACTGTGTTTTTTCCTGGAAATAAGCCTGAGCTCGGAAATTTTAGGAAATATTCAATTCAGACTCTTATGGGATACTTCAGTGAATTGCCCTGGCAGCTTTTTTTAGGGAAAAGATTATGTTGTGGGTATTTACACACACACCCCACCCCTATTTCAGATGCTGCTCGTGAGCCTGGATAGTACTTGAGGGTGGTTGGGGGATGACTGAGATTAGGTTTCTATTTTATGTTTTAGAGCTGGAGTGGTGTGTTTGTGTGACCTCTGAGATTCCCTGCTTCTGTAGCACAGTGAAGCCCCAATTTAAGGGATTTCCCCCTCCTTGGCCTCTGAGCTGCTAGCAGCCTTGGTAAATGCTTGGACTTGGCTTTTGCCTTTTGATAGTCATTAAATGATGTCAGTTAGTGGCTGATTAACAGCTACAAGGTCAATGATTTTGCTACACTGGATCAGTCTGTGTTTACTGGTTTGGCTCTTCACTTATTGGATCCGTTTCCTTAAAGATGGACCTTGATGTAAGTGAAGGGAGCATATTGGGTCGAGAAGATACTTCCTAGATTCCTTTTACTTAAAACCCATCCTAGATTCCTTGTAAAACCTGGGACTCAGAAGCCTTCTCTGGCTTATTTATTTTCCCTGAATCAACTTAAAACTGCTTGTCAACTGCAAAACACTCCAAAAATTCCAGGGAAGCTCCTTTATGACAAATCCTGATTCGGCAGGGTGGAAGGTGGTCCTCTGACCCATTTCTTTCATGTGCTCTCAGAGGGTCCAGTGGTCAAATCTGCACATCAGCCTCACCTTTTTTGTTTATTTATTTCCTTCCCATTTTTATTGATGTGTGAGCCTCACCTTCTAAAAGAAAGGTTTTTTTTTTTTTTTTTTTAAATCTAAGCAGTGGGTGGATTTTGTCTCAGTATTTTGCAGATACTATTAAAAAAATATTTTTTGAAGTCCCGAGCCTTTGAATCAGATTGCCGATATAAAAAAAAAAAAATTACTCCCTGAGATATAAAAAACAAAATTTACCCCCTGAGATTTAAGTTTATTGGAGTAGTACTTTTCATTATTAATGATATTTGTTAAAGGGAAGAGAGATTCATTTTAAAAAGCTTTTTAAATCTGATATCTGATGTGTTTAAAACATATTTCCTCCCCTGAATCTTTCTTAGACCTCAACATCATGTATATAGTAGGTTGTATCACCAGTATACATTTGGGTCTTCACATATTTCATTGTTAAAAAAATTGCAAGGAAAATGCCAGCAATTAAAAGAAAATAGTGTGGGGATGTTTTCTGTCAATAGCCCAGTGGACTGGCAGAAGATGGACAAAAGTTAAGACTAACTTTTAAAATATGTCTGAGGTGTAGTCTGCTCCATCTGGCTCCAGGCTCAAGACATCCAGCCTATGGCCATTTCAGAGGGGCTCTGGGTGCCACTTCTACTCTGTGACTGGTTCTAACCACCCTTTCCCTTGCCTTTGTTTCTGATCTGTTTCAGGACATGGAGGAGTGAATCAGCTTGGGGGGGTTTTTGTGAATGGACGGCCACTCCCGGATGTAGTTCGCCAAAGGATAGTGGAACTTGCTCATCAAGGTGTCAGGCCCTGCGACATCTCCAGGCAGCTTCGGGTCAGCCATGGTTGTGTCAGCAAAATTCTTGGCAGGTAAAGGCAGGAGCTACAGGCTTCCCTTGATTTTTCAAACAACAGTCTAAAACCTGACCCAGCGGCTACCCAGTGTGTAGGTCAGAGTGAGCATCATGGTGCCACTTTGCCCATTGCACAGCACTTTAGAGTTTACAAAGCCCTTTTGAGACCAATCAGTTCAAAGTAGTCATGGGAAACCCCTGTTACAAGTGACCCATGGAATGGGGTGACTAGTCCAGAGGGATGGCATGTCTTCTGAAAGCCCGAATTATTCCAAAGTACCCAGGAGTAAGAAATCCTTAGGAATTTCCTCCTACACACCTTAGGTGAGCCCAGGGCCTGAGCAGGGCTGTGTGGAAAATCTACAAATTATAAATCACTAGCCAGAGCTCAACGTTTCACTTTAATGTTTCAAAAGCACATTCCATTTTTAAAAGTCAAGTCTCATTTTTCTGTTGTGGGTTATCATCAACCTTATTGTGTCGGGCTGCAGTATTTTCCTTCTATCTGCTTGGTTTCCTTTGTAGTGACAGACATCCTAAGTATATATTAAATTAAAGAAGAAAAAAATCAAACCAAACACAAACTCTCAAATCTGACACTTGAAACTTGCCACTTGACCCAGTGATTTGCTGCAAGCAAAACACTAACAATGCCGATTCTCCCAGAGGGCTGTTCAGCCTTTTAGCGCTGCCCTCGTTTATTTCCTCGGATGAGCCTCAGCACAATGCAGGGATGTGTATTTTGAGATGAGGAAACAAACCTAAGAGAGACGAAGTGAGTGACCTGTGTCCATAGGGCCGGTCAGTACTTGAACTGTGAAGAAAGGACTCCTAGATCATCCATAGCCCCAAATCAAAGCCACCGTTTTGTTTGCAGGCATTGTGAAGTTGTACTGGCAGCCAGGAACATTCTCGGCTTTCACTGTTCTTTTCCCTGAGTCAGAAAACAACCTTAGTCCTGTTGCATTTCAGTTTGAGAACAGATATACCTGAATAGCAGAGAAATATTTTGAAGTATGTGACTTCATGACTTGCTGCTTGCTCTTGCCCTCCCATCTGCTGGGATTTAAGACCTTCTCTCGAGTGGAGGGAGCGACATCTTCTAACCTTGGGAACCTTGCTGGGGCCAAGGAAATAAGTTTCAGAGCTAAGGGTCTGGCAACCTTTTAGGGAGCTTGATCCCTGTGTTTCTTCCTCGTCTGCCTGCCCTTCACAGGTCACCTCAATGGTGCAAGTTGGCGGTGCCACTCCCGGTTAGTACTCAGCAAGCAAACGACCCCCAGCCACAGTTCAGGGAGAAGGCAGAGCTCTGTATCAGTTCTTGGTAGATGGCAGTTTTAGGTAGGAGAATGAGAGCAGGAGTAGAAGAGGAAAAATAGAGGAGAGGGAGATAGAGAAAGAGAGAAAAAGGAAACAAAGAGAAAAGGGAGAGAGAGAGAAGATAGAAGGAGAGAAGAAAAATATTGGCGATTCCCAGCATTAGACTTGTACAGCCGAATGGATCTTAGCTTGCTTGTTGGGAGGCTGCTCCACTATACTGAGGGAAGGAGAGAGAAAAAGAAGGCTCTTTCCTTTGTTTTTGCTGAGACATCTTTGCTGAGCCGACATTTTGCTCGGTACTTGAATTCTTCTCAGGGCAAGATGCTGAGCCCTTCTCAGAGGGGATGTCCAAATGCCAGGTCCTCATGTCCTGGTGCTGGGAGCCCTACAGATCTCTCCTGGAGATTGAAGGGGACGGGACCCTTGCCAGACCCCTCCGGCAGCCTCCTGAGGCCCGAATAGATTTGTCACTAGGTACAGTGGCACTCGGAAGTTACGCGCCGCTCCGGTGCCTGGCCGTTTAAGTTGTCAACAATAAATTGGAATTTCATAGCTCATTATTTTCATAACTAAGAACCACAGTGGACAAAATGTCACTCTAATTAGAACTGCCTTTTAAGAAACAAGTTCAGCCCTAAAACAGTGTGACTGGAAATTTCTGAACTGGGGCTGTTCCATCCACTGAGATTTTTTTTTTTTTGGTCGCCGAAGAATTTGATGGGCGCACACAGGTGACAGATTGTGGAGAGTGTGCGGTGGCTGTGTTTTCAGAAGCTGCAGGGCAAGGCTGGCAGAGTCCCTGCAGGCATGCAGGGACCCCCATCATCTTGGAACATGGGAAGTCTGCCAGTTGCGTGGGTATTCAGTCCACAGAGCTCAAGACTCCAGAGGCGCTCGACAGGCACAGCCTGGTGGTTGGAGGCCCATTTAAATCCACCCAGAAGACCTGGCTGTTGTCTTCTTTCACTGGAGCCTGGGTGGACGGTTCAGACCACTTGGAACTGGGTGGTATGTTATACAGTAATAAACACTCAGAGGGTTTTAATCCACAACGCATGCTCTTTATGTTTTGCTAAGCTTTTTCTTAATCATTCTGTATTTCTGCCTTCACAACAGCCCTGCAAGCAGGGCAGGCTTTGCCATTTTATACAAATGTGATGTCTGAGACTGAGGGCAGCTAAATGAGTTGGCCAAAGCCATACAGTGAGTTGGCTTCAGAACCACTGACTAGTAACTACATTCGTGACTCCCAAACTAATGCTCTTTGCTCGGAACTGCACTGGGTGTTGGTGGCTGCTGTTCGTCTGTTGTGTGGAAGCTGAAGGACTAAGCAATTGTTTTGCTGAGCTGAAAGGACAGTTATTTAGTCTGAATCCTCACTTGATACAGTTGCCAAGTGAGGTTTCCTGAGTATAGGGTTGTCGTCTATGTGCTTGACCTGTGTGTCGGTCAAAAGGAAGACAGAGATCTCTCAGGTCACAGTTGGCACTGCTCGGGTGGAATCGGTAGAGAGGCTTCTATGCGGGGCAAGTGGCGGGGGAGAAGAGGCTCCATCTTGCCACCTTCTCAGAGTGGCTGCACGAATATTGCCGTATCATTAAGCGAACATGTTTTGAGCACCCAGCGTAGGGCTATCTGTGTGTGTAACTCTTGCCTCAAGGCATTTGGGGACTATTGATTGAGTGAGTGAATAAATGAAAAGATTCACATGAAAATGCCTGGTAAACAGTAAAGCTCTATACAAATCCAAGGGATCATTATTACTATCACTTTAATGTTATAGCCAAAGCAGCAATTGACTTGAGTGGTAGGCTTGCTGGATATAGTCAGTTTGAAAGCTGGGGCTGCCTCTAACTTCCAGAAGGGAGTTGGGCAAGTCACTTAGTCTTCTGATGATAGGTTTTTCCTTTTATTAAACCCAGCTGGCCTCTCAGGATCGACGTGAGAGTTAAGATAACTCAAGGGAGATCTCTGTAAACTTTAAAGCCGGTGTCTAAATGAGTTGTTGTGTTGATAGCAAAAAATGACTTTCTATGGCAAAATTGAAATGATAATTGGAGGCAGCAGACATTGCTGTGTGCCTTGATTTATGGATTTTTCTAGACTGGGAAAAAAGTATTTTCTTGGATATTTCTATAAAAATCTGCTTGCAACTAATAATTTTTCAGCAATTATAGAAAGAGGGGGGATAAGTTGGGCTTTCCCTTATGGTCAAAATTTGTAAATGGCTCAGTATTTTCAATGAAAAATATAATTTCCACTTCCATGCCACTGCTCCAAAATTATTTCTACTGTTTCTGGAATGTCATTAAAATTGATCCTAAACAGATTTAACCCAGGATGAGAATTTCAGCACTTCTTTATATGTAAACCTGTCTTGTTCCTAGGTAGCCTTTCCCAGCAATTCCGTGGAAGAATGGCCTCTTTCCCTTCCTTATTATAAACTCTAGTTAGGTTTAAAAATTACTAGTCATTTTTAAAATGTCTTTTTGGTTAAATTTTTTTTCAACTGCCACATAATCTCTTTTCCAAAAGGAAGTCAAGAATTCCTTTGTAAATGTTGAGATATCCCAGTGAAGGCTCAGATTCAGAAAAGGAATCAAGCTATTTTTTACTCTGAAATGATCTTTCATGGCACTTTTCTCCCTGGTCTCGGTTTTACTGTTAAACCCTGACATCCTATTTGCACTAACGAGGAAGAGCTGATAGCATGGAAATGTCCTTAGAAATAGCGATTTACCTCAGGGGAGGTCCCTGGAAGAGCTGCCTTGACTTGTGGTTGTTTGTTTTTTTTTTTTTTTTTGGATTTGGACTTATATAGAACATGTATTTCCAGTTCATTCTGGAATCCTTTTAATTTTAAATCATGGTTATTGTTTTTCTCTTATTGAAAATAAGTTGCATTTTAGGGGAAAGTTTCACAGAATGCAGACAAGTCTGCCAAGGGATAGGAAAGCTGATCAAATTAAAGGTACAAGCCAACTCTCTGGGGAAATTTTAGCTCAGGAGGCTGAGCCACTGTCCTGGCTTGGTCAGTTGGACTTGTGTGATCCTGGGCAAACTGTTTAACCTCTATGGATCTCTGTTTTATACCTATAGATGGGAATCTATTCATTCATCAATTCAATCATTCAGCCATTCAAAACATATATGTGGTTTGGAACTATTATGGGATCAAATGGGAAAGCTGACTTGTAAATTTTCTGTAACCTATAAATGGTAGACAAATGTGAAAGAATGAAGGAATGAATGAGTGAATGCTAGCATCTTGACCAGGGCTGTCCAGTACAAATATAATGTGATTCATGTATGAAATTTACAAATTTATGGTAGCACTTTCAAAACAAGAGAAAGAAACAGGTACAAGGAATTTTAATGATATACTTTACTTAACCCAAATATAGACAATATTATTTCAATATATTATTAATTTAAAATTTATGAATGAGATATTTTACCTTCTTTTCTGTACTAAGTTTAAAAATCTGGTACGTATCTTACACTCACCACATCTCACTTCAAACTAGCAGCATTTCCAATGCTGAAAAGCCGAGACGGCCAGTGCTGCTGTATCAGGCAGTGCAGATCTGGATGTTTCCTAGTCAGAGTACCCTTTTATTTTGCTGCCAGCACCCATTTTTCTGTTTCTTATGGCTAATCTCTTTTCTTCTTGGGTCGTAGGTATTATGAGACGGGGAGCATCAAGCCTGGGGTAATTGGAGGATCCAAACCAAAGGTCGCCACACCCAAAGTGGTGGAAAAAATCGCTGAGTATAAACGCCAAAATCCTACCATGTTTGCCTGGGAGATCAGGGACCGGCTGCTGGCAGAACGGGTGTGTGACAATGACACGGTGCCCAGTGTCAGTTCCATCAACAGGTGAGGGACTGGTGCCTGTGGGGGACTAGGGTTCTGGGTAGGATGATGGATCTAAGTGTGCAGATGGATCTTATAGGCTCTAAGTGTGCATTCCCTGAAGATTGGTCTCTTGGTTACCAGACAGGAGGGAAGCTAATGGAACATGATGTGTCTCTCTATTTGCCCTTCCTCTTCTCTCCAAAGTGGGCAGGAGCCCGAGACCCAGGGAAAGGAGGTCATGCCAACATCATTCCTGATTGAAATTCTTCTGAGCCCAGAGTAATTTCCATCTCTTCCTCACCAACTGTCTCTGTGTGTCTATAACTTAACAATGAGCTGTCCTGAGTACACTTTTACAAATGTCACTTCTTTGAAAGCCCAGGCTCAAAGTTTTAGCATGGACTTATCTCAGAAGTTCCCGGGATCTTCGTGGCCTCTATTTTGGGCAGAGTTTGGACCACTGAGTTTGGGAAACAAAACCCTAACTTGGAGTTGGAAGACTTAGCTCTTGTTCCAGCTCTACTACAAACTCAGAATGTGACCTAGGCAAAGCTTTTTTTTTTTTTCTCTGACAGCCCAGGGCCCTGGTGGTTCTGATGTGGGTCTAAGATCTCCAGGAGTGATATTCAGGATGCTAAGATGCTGTGGAAGTAGGAGATTGCCTTCTCCCACTTGCCCTGACTCTCACCCATGGAGAGAAAGAACCAGAACAATACCATGAGAATCAGGCTTGAGCTCTTTCTAAGAGTCACAGCACCTCCTTTTCCTCTCTGGTCTAACCCAGAAAACATGGATCTCAGAGTTTTAAAAGCCAATTCCTAAAAGAAAGTTTTCTACTGTGGATGGTAGTCTCAACTCCACTTAAACCCATAGAGTCAAGGACATAGATGTGAGGTGAATAGAAATGAGTGTTTTCTACACAAGGGAAATGTAACCATTTCTCCAAGGTTACACCCTAACCTTGTCAGTGGTGAGCCTGCCCAAAGGACCCCTCACCTCAGTAGAAAGAGTTGGTCAGTCTAGAATCTCTTTGAGGTCCCCTGGGGTCCTGGCAGTCATCCCTGCTACAATGGCTCAAATGCACAGAATTGCTGCGTGTCCATGATTTAACTTCCAAGTCCTGCTTTTCTTCTCTCAGCAAACTGTTACTTTGTCCCTGACATCATGCGAGGTGCTGGGATGAGAGTGGGTAGCAGGCACACAGTCTTTGTCGAGGGTGGGCTTCTGGTATGCACTTAGCAGTCTTAACAGTCCAAATTAGGCATGAAATTGTTGAGAAAATGGTCACTGTGGTGGCAGGTTTTGGGGAATAACTTCTGTTCTTTGTCTGGATTACCAGGGGCTCCTATGTGCTTTGGGAGTCTCCTACTTCTGAATTGTGGCAGTATTTCCATGACACAAAACAACACGACTATTTTCCTGGGTCTTCACAAGCCCAGTATGGAGTGAGCACACACTCTTAGGTCAGTGAAGAGGCAGTGAGTCTGCTCTGCAAAGGAATCTCAGCCTAACCCAGCAGAATTTGGGAGCCCCCAGATTTCCCAATGTATAGTGTAGTGGTTCGAAAGATAACTTAGGTTGCTGGTGGGGGTCACAGACTCTAATGCTAATGCTGGGACAGGCAGATATTGCAACAAACAGAGCAGACTAGTCTTATACCCATAGTGGAGCAGTGGGTTGATGACAAAGTAGACCCCAACAGGTCTCCTGAGGGATAGTCGCTTCTCAGCTCCTGCTAAATGCTCCAAGAATGTGGGTCCAACGTTTGCCAGATTTTTTTCCTTTCTTAAAGAGAAACCAGAAACTAGGACTTGTGTGTGCACAAATGTGTGCATGTTTGTGTGTATAAAATGTCTGTGGAGTTAGCAGGTTGTGGAGTTAAACACTGCCAACTAATTTTAGTGAAAAAAATGTCTTGCAGGACAAGCACATGTCATTTGTAGGGCCCTCGTTTACATTCTCTATGACACAAAGATACAAATTATTTTGTGATAAACTTATTTGAATGTATTTTAGAAAAACACACCAAACCAGTGAGTGTGAATTTTGTGATTCCCTTATTTATAGTCAAGAACTAATATTGCCTTACAAAAATTAATCTCCTTAAGTCAAAAAACAAGTTATTTGAAAGAAACATGAAATAGATGGAGCACAGTGGCTGCAGACATAGTGTAGGCTATAAGGGGGTTAATGGAAAGGGGTATCTAGGGAAATAGTGGCTCAGCTTTGTGCCCAGAGCTGTGCTGGGGGTGGAGGGTGGGGAGGGCACGGACACTGCTGACTGCTAGTTGTTAGGGCCTGGCCAACTCAGGGGCCACTTAGGGGTTCTAGTCCATAATGGTGGCCCACTGACTGTGCTTCTGAGGTACTTTCACATCTGTGGTCTCCTACAGCCCTCAAGGCCTAATTCTGCCCTGTGATAGGTACCTGAGGCCCAGGTGGAGTGCAGACGAATTTTGAGATAGAGATGGGAGTAAATCCTGGGGTCCCTGATGGTGAAAGAAGGGCTGGTCTCTTTCCACTACTGCGCTGCAGGACTCTGCCCTGACAGAATTGAAGATCTGTGAGGAAAGGCAAGGAGGACTAAAGCATTTCTACCCTGGATCTGAGCCTTGCACCTGACATGTTTTGCTGCCTGTCTGCCGGCTCCCTCTGGGACGTCAGCTCTTTCCTGGGCTCTGGGAGCTCTTCTTGGGAGCACTCTTTGGCTCATCACTCCATTTTTCAGTGGAAGTGCTTTGGTGTCTCTCACAACCATTCCTGTCATACAAATAAATAAGTGTGGTGGGACAGTCTGAGCTTGCTTTTGTTGCATTCTGTACCTCTAGCCCCCACAAAGACTGAACTGTCCCAGCTTACAGTTTTATTTTTCATATGAAGGCAAAGCTCCCATTGCATTCAAGCAGATGCAGCTTCCAAATAACCGTCTTGCAAATGTCACTGTGTCCGAAGGTCCATAGCTCCTTCTCCCTGCCCCTGTCTCCCTTGAAGGCAACCCTTTCCTATTTCAAATAGCGAGGGAGGGCAGCGCTGGATTTGCAGCTGTTCTGGTGGCTGCAGAGACATCTCCACTGTCCACGCCTAGAAGTGTGTGCCTTTCTGTTATCTTCCAGGAGACCAATCTGGGAAACCATGCCTGACATGGGGTTAAGCAACACTGAACCTACTAAGCTTGTGGGAGATTTCCTGGGACACAAGTCATTGTGGTGATGTGACAAATACGGGCTGGGATGCTGTACAACCTGCATGAGGCATTCTTAGAATCAGCCTGAGTGTCAGTTGGAGGTGGCTGTCCTAGAGTGGACCCAAGTGGTGGGTGGAATGGAGTCTCCCTTCTGCTGTTCCAGTCTTGTGACTCTAAGTTAGGGGCCACGTGGGAGGACTGAGAGGCATTTCTACTTAGGGAACAGCTCTATTAGTACCTGGTGGTTGTCATGTGAAAATGTGGGGTCAAGATTGCTGTGTGCTCTGCTTTTTCAGAAGAAGCTAGAAATCCATGTATTTATGTAAAAGCTACCAACTTACCAATACCGATAACTAAGATAAAAATAATACTGTATAGGAAAAATAAAATTTGTACAGGGATGGATATGACCTGGGGATGACAGTTTGCAAACTTGATTGTGTTTTTTTTTTTTTGTAAAAATGTTGCCTCTTACTATTCAAGTGGCTTTTGGTGACTTTTTTTTTTTAATAGAGGCATGTTTTATTTATTTATTTATTTGTTTGTTTGTTTGTTTTTGTTTATGCATGCACTGGGTACAGTCAGAAGCACGGGAGGGTGAGAGAATTCACCAGAGCCAGAGCGGGGAACAGAGCAGGCAGAAGGACCGAAGTACACTGCTGAGGGGAGCAGCGGGCGGCAGGAGAGGTCTGCTGGCCATGTGGGACCCTCCTCTGGTGGCCGGGGAGCAGCCGGGGATCGAACCAGCGCCGCCGAGGTCGTGGGCAGCTTCGCAACCCAGCGCTCAACCGCTGAGCCACCGGGGAGGCCCTGCAAACTTGATTCTTAATCCTACCTTGGGCAGCAGCTTTCTGAGATTACCTACCCATTCATTCTCTCTTGTACACATCAGTCGCAGGCGTGCGTGTCACCTGTGAGCCCTCTCCCAGCTTGGCCCAGTTGGAACCTCGGCTTTTGAATTCTTGGCAAAGCCAATGGCCCGAGGTTCTTACTGTGCCAATGGCAGTTTGAGCAGTGCAGTAGTTGCGGGTATTTCTACAACCCTATCTGGGCTGTGAGAAGACATCGTCTTTCTAAGCAGCGGGGGCAATGTTGAAGTCAGATCCTAACAAATGCCTGTAATACTTCACTGCTCTTGAAGTTTTAATTCTCAGACTCTAAATGGAATTTGAATCCAAATTGGCTTTAAATTTCAAGGAGGAAATATTTTGCACTGGAGTCACTTCCTTCGAAAGTGGTTCAAAGAAAGCTACTCAGGCTTGGGAACTGGGAGTTTTCAGCTGACTTACTGTGTGATCCTGGGCAAGTCACTTGAATGCTCTGCCTTTCGTTTCCTCATTCACAGAAATTGATTCATTGCTGAGGTCCCTTCTAGGTTGGATCATCTAAGATGTTCATATGGCATCCAGGATCATGTTCATACTCAGCAAAATAAAGGCTGTGCCTTTTAGCGTTGACTGCCAGTTAGCCCTGACTATCAATTTTCTATGTATTACTCCTGTTGTGACGAGTCTTAAAGACACCATTTTTTCCCCCATTTTTTAAAAGAATTGCTATGATTCAATTTGTCTTATTCTTTCCATTATACTTTCTTCTCAATGGACCATGATGCTCTTTGTTCTTGTCTTGGCAGCTGCTGCAAGCATATGGACAAAATCTGTATCCCTGGGGGAAGTGTTAGAGGCTTCCCTACAATTCTGGCTTCCCCATAAAGGACAACCCCAGCACAACCTTAAAATGGAGTGTTGGGGTGCCTGCCTTCCCCTCCCCAGCTCCCAAGGCTGGGGAGGCAATTCCATGTGTTTTTAAGACATTTGTGGAAAATACGAACCTTTTTTTCCCCAAAGATTTTATTTTTATTTATTTATGTGTACAAAAACTGGTTTGTAGGCCAGAGGTACAGGGTACAGTGATTCAACAGAGACAGAGTGGGGAGCAGAACAGGCAGATCTACTGAAATACACTTCTGAGGGGAGCAGCAAGGGAGACAGTAGAGGTCTGCTGCGCCATGTGGGTTAGCTCCCTAGCCAGGGATGGAACTCAAGCAGCAGTGACTGGCCATAGCTTGATAGTGCTGAGACTTTAACCCCTGTGCCACCAGGGAGGCCTGAAAATATGAACCTTTTAAGGTTAAAGCTGAGTATTGATCTTTATGAAGATAATACTGAAAATAACAACAGCAAATATCTATTGAACATTTATTATGCAAATGCCATTATTCTCAGTGTTAATTGATTTAATCTTCATAATAACCCCATGAAATAGGAATGATTTTTAGTCCCATTTTGCAGATGAAGAAATAGAGGCATCAAGAGATTAAGTAACTTCCCCAAAGTCATGTAACTGACAAATGGCAAGACTGGGATTCAAACTATAATATTTTGCTTCTAGAGAGGCTTTTTTATTTTATGCACACATTTAATGGCCAGACAATGCTTTGAAAATTGACAACTTTATGCTGGAATTCTATGGGAAATAGGTGCAATATATACTACCATATATTTATATACACATAACCTATAATATAGATAAATTATATTTATATCTTATAAAGTCATATGATATATATCTAGGTATATGTTTGTAGACAAATACACCTATATACATACATATAGGTACATACATAAATGTGTGTATATGTGTATATATATATGTATGTGTCCCGCCAGTCCACACATCTACAGAGAAGGTAACATACATACAAATAGTAAAATTAGATCAGATGTTACTTTAATTCTAGGTGATCAAAAAGACTACATCACTCCCAAGTCTGTGTCAATATGCTCCACATCTGCTTAGTCAAAATAAGTGGTTTAAATATTGGAGAAGACAGACAAAGAAAAACTCTGAATATAGTTGAGGCAACATATATGTTGACTCACTGAAAAAGGAAAAGGACCTTTGCTGAGCTCATGCAGCCTGGGTTCCAGAGGGCCTGTGGTTGGGAGGTGATGTGGTGAGAAACATCTATTCCAGGTCATTAGCGGAGAATGCTGCATGGCCTTGGTGCCCAGTGAGAAAAGAAGACAGAGGCCACAGCAAAGGAGATTAAGGGAAGGCACCTGCCACTTCTGTCCTCTGCATTTGCACAAGCTGGAGACCCAAAGCAGCTTGAAATGAACCAGTGGTCTTGAATATGAAAACACTCCTCTTATAATGTTGACTAAAAAAATGCAGGCTACATTTTGTTAAGAGAAAATGATGTTTCCAAATATGCTTAGTAATGTTAGCATAAAGGAAATACACTGAAATGTGATTTTTAGATGTCTTCTTTATACTTGTCCAAATAGTCTACAATGGGCAAAGAATACTCTAGTAATAAGCGTTGTTTTAAAAGGTAATAGTTGGAGACTGAAGTAGAACTTTTTCAAATAAACTTTCTGTCAGCTCCCAAAAGAACATCTGGCCCACGCCCTGGTGGGCTGCTCTATGATATGTCAGGCTTGGGGTCTTGGTTAAACCCCATGTGTTTTTCCAGGAGGAGATTTACTAACTAAGCTTCCCAGAGCCCAAGATTCTGCAGAAGGCCTTCAGAGCTGCCAGGTGATAAAGGAGAGGCAGGGCTGCTTTTATCCCTTTTATGCCCTGGGCTTTTCCATAGGTTATTTTTTCCCCCAAAGGGATTTAATTACTTAAGTAAGCCAAGAGTGGACTGTTGCAACTCCCTTATTGTATTGAGGCCCACACGGAGTGAACTTACCCCAGGTCACAATCAAGTTCATATCAGAACCGGAGCACAGTCTCTGTGAAGACAGGCCAGGCGGCCCTAGCTCCCAGGACTATGGAGTCTGTCCACGAGGTTTTGTACGAGGTGAACAGGATTTCTTTTAGCAAAACCCAGCCAGTCCTCCCCTGGTAGTACTTCAGCAATTTAGTTTCAGAACTCCATATATACCCCCTCCATGGTTGTTTTTGATGTGTGGGGATCTTAGTCCTCCTGTGGCTCTCTAAAGCAAAGAAACAGGGACAGAGACATTACCTGGTTCAGTCCCTTCATTCCACCAGGGAGGGACGGAATTATCTAATATCACTCAGCGAGTTCCTTATGGAGCTGGAGCTGCCACTGAGAAAGGGATACCTATTGGCAACATGAACACATCTGCCTCTTGCTATAGATGCACCTGAGGTCCAAAGAGGGTGCAAGTTGCCCAGAAACTTGGGAGGTAGGAAATGAGTTGGGGTTAGTCAGAATTCTTCCAACCCCCTAATTCCCAATCTGGGCTTATAATCTCTCCTCATGTCTGCCCCAGCTTGATCCTTGCCCCAGCTTGATATGGGTTTTCTGGTTTTCCATGCATAGCTAGTTGAGATTGCTTCTTCTCCATGATGGTAAATAGCCAATTATTTTTTCCCCAATGCCCACAGGATCATCCGGACAAAAGTACAGCAGCCGCCCAATCAGCCGGTCCCAGCTTCCAGTCACAGTATAGGTAAGAAGAACTTCAAAAAAAAAAAAATTTAAAAATCTAATGGGTTCCAAATATTCTAAAGAACTTTTAATCATTCTTATGGACAGATAATTCTGCATAAAACACTTCGGCACACGTACTAATGCGCCTTCTTTGTCATTCTCCAAGGGCTGAACCTGGTAAATGAATTTTATAAATACTGCTAAAAGGTTTTGAATTTTACTGATTATTATGATAAATAGCTTTCACCATGAGACAGAAAATTGAAATCTAAGCCAAAAAAAAAAAAAATCCACTAATGGGGGTCTATAGAATGTCAGATAATTAAAGTAATAAATCAAGAAAGGGATACTTATTCATAACATTTTCTGCATCATTAGTCAGTAAGTAGTTTTGAATGTGTTTTTTTCTTCTATCAACCAGCCCTTCTACAATTCTTTGTGCACTTGCAGTCTTGAGTGAAGATGTGGCAAAACTTCCCAAACTTTCTTTTTCTCTCTCTCTTGCTTCAATCTCATGTACTTCATGAACTGTCAGGGCTGCCAGTGGGGTTTCTGACATTTGTGGTGAAGTCTGAGAGTGACTCTGAAGTCAGAGTAAGGATGGGAGTTATATTCCCTACTACTCAAGAGTTCCACTTTTCCCTTGCCTTCCCTTCCGTGCAAAAATTTTGAGATGAAAATGACCCCTATCAATTTTAGACATATTCTTTCTCCACTTGTGATAAAGGAAACACCTCTACTGAGCTGGGGGAAAAGTTATTCTACTATAAAAAAGGAGGTGGCATTCAGCATGCCTCTGAGAGATGTCAGCCACAGTCCCTGTCAATTTTGCTTAATCACGCTCCAGACACTGTAATGTTTCCACACCTTAGTCACTTCTGTAACTGTAAACTTGAGCTTCCTCATGGTCATGGAGATCAGGCAAAGATCTTGCTGCTAGTTCCAGTCTGGCAATGAACTCATTCAGTGAACTGTATAAGTTTCTTCATCTCTTTGAGCCTCAGTTTCCCCATATGTGTACTGAAAAGTAACACCTGGTGCTCTGTGAGGTCTCTGAGTCTCCTGAGTTGTCTCTTTATGTAAAGATAAGACAGAATTTCTCCCTGCCATAAAATAAATTTTCCTCTAATAATCTGTTCAAGAAGCGTTTGCTACACTCCTGTGTGGACGGTGCCCTTGGAGACTAATGTTATAAGGTAGGCAGGACAAAATCCCCTTCCCCAAGGGCTTCTCCGTCTAATGGGGGAATGTGACTGAGAAGTTTGCAAAATGCTGAGAGAAAGCTCACACGGTGCAGTACCTTGGGAGCCCAAGGAAGGAACTACCAGTTCTCTTGAACTGGGGCGAAAAGAGAGTTGACGAAGACTCCTGGGGAAATGTTTGTGGCTGAAATTTCACTTGTGGCTTTAACTATTTCAGGTCACGTAAAATATCAACTAACAGTAACAGAATTTTCCTTCAACTGAGGAGAGGAATAATTTGCCTTGTAGGTCAGCAGGATGCTTGGTTTTGTCTCAGAAATCTCTGTAAAAATTGTATTTTATATGTGTATAGCCTCTTATATTTCAAAAACTTATTGAGGAATGAGGAAACAGAAACTTGGAGAGATGAAATAACTAGTCCAAGGTCACATTGCCAGTAAGTGTTGGAGCCAGAATTGGAATCTGGGTCTTTGAGTCTCATGCAAAATGTTGGAATATATATCATCGGCTCTGTCAACAACATGGTGGTTGTTTTGCTTAAAGCACCAAATGACTTTTGGTCCTCTTTCTTCCTCTGTTCTTTGGACCTCAATATAGAAAAGGTTGTGAGATTTGCATAAATCTATTTTTGAGGCGCTGCTTCTGCTGAAGGAAAAGAGAAGTTAACGATTTCTACTTCTGTGTCTCCTAAGGAAGATCTAAAATCAAACTCAAATATGAGAAGAAAGGCACCGTTCCCCCTGGGTCTTATAGGAGCAAGAGCTGGATGTGCTCCAAGGAAAGCAACAACGGCTTCTCATGAAATCACCGCTATTTCTAGTAATTTCCTCTACTTTAGAGTCAAAGGCGGCCCCCACCTGCCTCTAGCTAGTTATAGCCCAAGGAAATGTGTCTGAGATTGGTTTGTAGGTTTTAATGAACCAAGAAAGAATTCCCATAGCCCAGGATGGAGATTCAGCTGTATAGCTTGAGCTGACCCTGACCACTCCCTGGTCTCTTCCTTGGACTCTGTGGCCAGGAGTTAATGTGAAACTTGCACAAAACCTCCCCTCCCCCATTCTTATCCTTAGGATCTTAGAGACCTGACCTCAGTTATAACAAGTCACTGAACTCTGTCCACATTTCCAGAGCCAGGGGCACTCTAGATTTTAAGTCAATAGACTACAGACTGAGTCTTGGTGTTACTGATCATTGGCTAGATGACTGAACAAATTGTTGGCTTTATGGAGTCTCAGTTTCCCCATTTGATGAATGGGGATAAATAATACCACTCTAGGTTGTTGGAAGCATCAAGTGAAAAACACTGAAGTATAGTGAAACATTTTTTAAAATATTGTTTACTGAGGAACAGATAACTATAGGAGTTAAGATTTTTGTCTCTGGGTTGCAGTCACTATTCTGCCTCTTACTAGTTGTGTGACTTTGGGAAAGTCACTTTCTCTGAGCCTTGTCTTTCCAAAGGGGTTACAGGCCCCTCTGAACCCCATTCAAAAACAGGGCACTCTTAGGAAAGCTTTCATAAGCTGAAATGGCTTAAGATGAAGAAGCGATTGCCATTAACTTATATGGAAAATTTTTTGAGAGTTCCCCCCAAAAAATAATACATAGGACCTAAATGACACTAACATGTAGCAAAAGCAAGTATGATAGGATACACATGTTTAAAGTTGTTCCCAGGAAAGGAGCATGACCCGGCCGCTTTCCTTGCAGCTGGGGTCAGGCTGCCTCTTAGAACCTGTGGCAAAACAAACTGGATTCCCCTTTGCGACTTGTGTCACAACAATAGAAATCTTTTGGATTTCTTTCAGTTTGTGAAAACTGCTGCTAATGTATGCCTTTCCTAAAGGCAAAGTGGCAACAACTCTAACTTTCAAAACTTTCAGAATTAAATGAGATGCTTCAACCTGGCCAGGAGTAAGCGCTCCCAAAACATTAGTTAGCACTGTATTACATATGCATTATATTGCATATAACTATACATTATACAATATACAGTAATATATCCCTTTTATATAATTCATGTTAAAAATTTAAATCCAGGTAAACTGGAAGGGAAAAAAGACAGCGAGGAACTGTAAAACTGTTGGAGTTTTATTAGCTGTGTGTATGAATGTGCAAGTATTTATGCCTGTGTGGATGGCTGGGTATGTTCGCAGGGCTGAACCTGCTAATGAGTACCTATAGGTCTTTTTCTTTTTTTTTTTTTTTTTAAGAGAAAGAAAAACTTTATTGAGGAGAAAAGCAACAGAAATAAAAGGAGACTCCCAGGCCATGAAACCAGGCCAGGGAGGAGCAAGGAAGTCCAGGCCTTTTTCTTTTTTCAAAGCCCCGGCTGGTGGTGGCCCCCTAGCTCCCCTTTTTCCCTTCTCCACCCCGTGCTTTCAGCATCCTTGGACAGGCTAGGATTTGAGTCAGTGCACAGTAGTAGTTGTTGCTATATTCCTTTTTGCATTGTCAGTTCTCGCTGCTCCTCGTCCAGCAGCAGAGACCCTGCCTTGGGCAAACCGCCTGCCTGGTCCTGGGCGAACAGCCTGAGGCGGGAGGGCCGGTCTCAGCGCCCGGGTGTGGCCGCTGCGACTGGGCTGGTGTCCTCCAGGCGCGCACACACACAAGCCCGCCCGCCTATCTAGCTCCCTCGCCGGCCCCGCAGCCCCGTGGAGGGCGAGTGCCTTTGTTTGGCTGATGCGCCCCGGGTACCGGGTCGCCCTCGCGGCCCTCCCGCTGGGCCCTGACCGCCCTCTCCCTCTGCACAGTGTCCACGGGCTCCGTGACGCAGGTGTCGTCGGTGAGCACGGACTCGGCAGGCTCCTCGTACTCCATCAGCGGCATCTTAGGCATCACGTCCCCCAGCGCTGAAACCAACAAGCGCAAAAGAGATGAAGGTAAGAGAAGCCTGCGCGCACCTGTCTGTCGGGGAGGGAACCGAGGCGGCATTCGCTGGCGGCCAGTTGCTCAGGGGTGGAAGCAAAGAGGCCCGCTGAGCGCCGGTTTACCAGCAGAGTCCCCAGGCCTGGATATGTTTGGTGGGCTGAGTCCTCCTCTTCTCATCCCTTCTTCCCTCATCTCCCTAATCTTCACCCCTTGGGTGGAATAAGGCCGACTTGGCAGATCCTTTGTGGCCTTTAAGACCTTCAAGTGCAGATGAGGTGCCTGAGGGCAGTGTGTGGAGGGTATGAGCTGGAAGCGGTGTCCCTTTTGTAGGGGAGGCCTGGAGGTAGGGCGGGGCCTGTGGGCTGCTCAAGAGGCATGCTTGGATTGGGGTGAGGTCAAGGGTGTCTTTTCTGGGGGGCTGTGTATGCATGACTCTCCCAGAATACCCCCAAGGGTGGCTGGGATGGTGGGGGGTTGAGGAAGTGAATAATCTTTTCATCTCTGCTCTTGGGCCTGGAAGGAAGGAATCCAGGGGCTTCACAGGGATTACAAAGATGACAATCTTCCCTGTCGGTTTTTTCTCAACCCCTGGGTCTGCCACCTGGGCCTCCTGAGCTGGTCCGCTTGTCCCAGACACCAGCCCACCTTAACCCCCTTGCCTTTCCCTGGATGGACTGCCAGCTTGGCTGATGTTAATGGGTTTGAGAGGAGAAAAAGCCCCCTGGGAGTCTCTAAAACCTACATCAGGAAAGGAAGGGGAAAAAAAAAAAAAAAAAACTGGCTGGCAGTGGTCTAGGGCTTGAGAGCAGCGTGACAGAAATCTTGATTCAATTATTCTGTACCTCTGCACAATTCCCTTTCTCGGCTCCCTGTAAGGGATGTATGTTCTCGTGAGCACATGCCTAAGTACTTAAGATCTGTAACTAGAAAATTGAGTCGGCTGAGCAGTGGATTGCTCTGTGGTCTGTGTGTTCCAGGCAGTGCAGAAGCTGGGCCTGCAGCCTCTGGTTGGAGCTGTGGGGGCGCGTAGGGATGATTCACAGCCCTTGGAACCTGCCTTACCTCTCTCCCCTGTCCCTGACACTCAGAGCAGATGTCAGAAGTCTTTAACTCAGTGGGTTGCTGTGCCATTACTGCAGGAGGCAGTGGGCCTAACATGTCTGTTGGTTTATGGGGTTGATGGTGTCATCTTTTCTGCCTTTGTCACCTGGATTCGCAGCAGATGTGCCCAAGCTGGGGCCTGGCTGTGTTTGCTCAAGGTGGAGGGCTAGGTGGTATGAGACTCCCTCAGAGGCTGAGGAATCTGGATGGAGATTTTTGGAGAAAGAAAAAAAAAAATCTAGTTTTTGTTTACCACCAGGTGGGTTCTGAGTTGGGGGAGTGTTTGACGTGTGTAGAGTGCTGCTTGGCCCTTAGCCTCTGATTATTGGTTACTGTTTAGCTTCTCAATCTGCTTTGAAAGGTATAGAGTGGTCAGAATATGTCCTTAGTCTAGACTGCTCTGTGCTGGTCAAATCATTCCTTGAGTACTGTGATCCATTTGGGCTATTGACCTTTCAGAGAGACAAGGACAAATTGGAATGTCCAGCTGGAATGCTCAGGGATCTGGGTTATCACAGCACCTAGAGAACACCTCAAGGCTCTGGAGATGTTTTGGCACAAAGAGAAGAGTGAGAGGGACTGGGTTGTTGCCTTCAAACATGCGGAGGGTTGGCATGGAAGGCAAGAGGAACGAGAATTTGCCATGTGCCCTTGAATGCCAGCATGCAGCAGATGCAGAACAAAGCACTTTGCAAATAAAAGAGTGATCTAGGGCTGCCTCTGGAGGAAGTGAGTATCCCGTCACTAGAGGTATGTAAGTAGAGAGTAGGTGACTACTTGCTAGGTTGCTGTATAAGAGAATCAAGAATCAGATGTAGGCTTGTATGATCTTTGAGATCCATCCAGTTTTGAAATTTATGACTGAGTCTTGATCCCCAGTAAGACTGGGATCGTGATCCAGTCTGTGATCTGGGGACTAAGGTAAAATGATGTGATTGTCCTGAAAGCTTATAGGATTAGATGAATTGGAGACCCAGGCACCAACCAGAGTCTCTCTCCCCCCCTCCCCCATTGAGATGTATAAGGTTGAGCAGAGAGGTGGGCAGAAGTGCCCTTGCTTACCCCAGCACACTGTGTGGGAGGAATTCTGTGTAATGCTCCTTATTGCCCTTTCCCATCCTTCCTGTATCCCTCCCTGGATCCTTGCATTTGCTTAAGAGATTGTTGAAGAGTCACCACCTCCATTTCGTAAGGGAGGATGCTCAGTTTCCAGGCAGTTTTGTGATGTTGGCAAAGCCACACTGCTGATGTGGACTGGGTGTCGGGAGGAGCTGGAGTGCCCCTGAAGCCTCAGTTCCCTATTCCTGTCCGACTACCTGCTACCCTTCCAGAGAGAGGTTTTGGAAGTGGAACAGCCTTGGGCTGGGCAGAGCCTGGGGACTGTGGAAGGAAGAAATTCATGCAAAAGGGCATGGCCAGCAAGCTGACTGCTGCTGACAGGGTTGTGGGAAAGTAAAGAACCAGCCCCTGGGGAAGAACAGGGGAATTGCCAGATGCACCAGAGGGCTGTCTGTGAGGTTGCAGAGCAACCTCACAGTGTGGTAGCACTTTCTCAGAAACCCTCAGCAGCCTGGGGGCAGGGCCATGGCACAAGAGAGGCCTCACGGGCCACAGGAGGAAGGCCAAGGGTCCTCAGATGCGTTGGCTAAGGCTCTGCAGGGTAGAGTCCCTTGTTCAGATCTGGTTCTCGGTCGTGTCCAGCTTGGACTTGAGTTTTACCCTGTGGACATTTCCCCAGGGAGAGGTGGTGGGCATAGATTCATCACAGAGGGCCTGCCCTCTAGAACTTGCATAGTGTTGGGCAAGCCTGGCAAGTCCAAATTCGCTCTGATGCACAGTGGATGAGGTGCTGAGTTGGACATAGCACTAAAGGGGAGAGAAAGGTAGGAGGTGTTGCTGATTTATACCAAAAGGCTCTGGGAGGGCTCCTCATAGGAAGTAGCACTTTACTGAGGAAAGCATATTTTATGTTACTTCTGTTTTATAGATTTGAATTAATTAAAATCTTATAAAATAAACAGTTTAGATTTAAATTAATTAAAATCCAAAATAATGAACGTTCCATGTGGCTGGTGACTATTTTCAATAACCTGGCTTGGATACAAGTCCTTGGCACATTGTAGGTGCTCAGTAAACTCTCCTTGGTGGAATAGATTGTCCACATGCCTACAAAGCATTCATGATTAGTGAGGAGGGTGAGGGGGGTACCTCTAGTCTTAGCAGGTTTCTATCTAGTATTTTGGGATTCCATAGAAAGCTCTATTTGAGTAAAGACTTCTACAGCAAAACAAAGTCAGATCACTGTTTGTTGCTGCCAGGGGACTATTCAGTCTGGAAATTCTAGGGCTCTCCCTGGGGTGTTTGCCTCCTAGGCCAAGCATGGGGAGGCTGCTGTGTCCATATCCCAGATGGACTGTCCTGTGGGCGTGGCAGTAGATACCATTCCTGGGGCTAGAGCTGGGCTGGTCAAAGGAAATTGGAGGAGGCAGATATAACTCAGTATGAGGAACAGCTTCCAGAGAAGAGCCAGGCTGGGCCAAGGATGGCAGCATTATCCTAGGAAGGAGGCGTGAGCAGGGCAGGACAAAGCAGGAGCAGATGCGTCAAAGAAAGCGTGTGGTTTGGGCCCTGTGGCTTTTGAGGTCTCTTACAATCTGGGTAATAAGTGCATCTGCGACTGCCTTCTGTCTGGAAGTGGGTCTGCCTCCTGCTGCCTGACTGAGTCTGCCATCCATGTGGTCTTGACCAGGCAGGGCCACGTTGTGTGCTGGGCCCCTGGTATAGTGCCAGCCCGTTGCGGAGATGCTCAGGAGGCTTCTGGATGCTCTGAGACTCAGGCTGGGCTGCTGCTTCATCTCTTGGTTGGGTCCACCTGAGAGCTCTCATGGAGAAGGCTGGGACATCAGCCTTAGGAATCCTTCTGGGCTGGTGGGAAGAGCCTGAGGTGGTGCCTCCCTCCCCCGGAAGGCTGGAGGAGGTGGTGGCAGACTGGACTGGGCAGAGCAGGCAGGGCTGTGAATAGCGGCTGTGGGTGAAAGGGCAGCCCCAGATCCTCTGTTCCCTTCTGAGCCTTTGATCTGTTGTGGGGCCTCCTTCCGCTGTCTCCAGGGTCCATTCAGGGCCCCTCGACCTCCCCTCCCCTTATCCCCCCAGAGTTTGAAAGGCCCTGAACATACCGAGGTCACCCGAGTGCGAATCCCTTTCACTAGCTCTGAAAGCCTAATCCAGCGCCAGAGTGATGGTGGGGGTCGGAACCTCTGTTTGGGCAGTAGAGGGTATATTGCAGACACAATTCCCTGCCTTCTGGGCCCTGCACTGCCCTCTACCTGACATGCACAGGGCATTGAACCCAGAGGAGGCCTGGCTTTTCCCAAGAGTTGCCAAATCTAGCAAGGTTCTCATGGGGGAGGCTTGGGAGCATTTAGTGGGGGGTTCTTTGTCAGTCTTCTTCCTGGGGATGCCTGCCTCTTCTCTGTCTTTGTGTCTCTCCCCATGTCTTTTGTTTGGGATGCATCTCTGTCAGTGTTCTCTGCCTATTTCTGTCCTGTTTATTGAGATTCTGTGTCTACTTCTGTCTCCTGGTCTAGATCTCACTTTGATTTTTTTCTCACTCCCCCTTCCCCCCCCCCCTTTTCTTCTCTCTCTCTCTCTCTCCCCCTTCCTGCTTGTATTCACTCTTTCCATCTTACCTAATCCCCTCTCCCCTATCTCCTCCAGCTCAGCCCCTGCCCTGCAGACCTCCATGGGGGTCACCGAGGGTCGGGCAGGGCTTTTAGAAGCTCACAGACCATGGAGAGTCCTATGGTCTCCTGTTTGATCATGGGCAGGCCCTGGCCTTCCTCCCTTAGGACTCTAGAGAGGAGTAGGACTCACTCAGACCCACCCTGTTTGTTGCTCCTGGGCTTGTGGC